ATTATGTAAATATCACAGAGAAAAATAAAATATTGTTTAAAGATGACACATTTGGCTTTTCTTGAAAGGAACAAGCAGTCATTGATAGATTTTGTACAGTGACATGGCTCTGTCTGTACTTTTATGCACTCTGGTTGCCAGCTAGACAACAGATTGAAGGGGGCAAGAGGCCTCAGAGGTACCGCATGGACACAGAGAGCTGTGTTAAAAAGTTGTAAGCTAAGGGGAATGCCTGGCCCTCCTGCTGACCTGGGATAGTGAGAGCTAGTCTGGTGAAGAGAGCTTTGGTGTACAGGTACTGTCAATGAAGCAAAGCAGACACTTCTTGCCTGAAGTCCCCAAATGTTTGTAATCTTCTTATTCCAAACACTCTATTCTGAGAAGTTATACTAAAAGCACTGTGTGAGCACCAGTATTTATCTCTCCATTCTTCCAGAAAAGCCATTTGTTCTAGTCTGCCTTCCTGTTGCTGTGACAAATATCATGTCCAAAAGCATGCACTTCCAGGTCTTGGTCAATCATTGACTGTCAGGGCAAGAACTTAGAGCAGATACCACAGAGGAAGACAGTGTACTGCCTTACCCTCTGGCTTGCTTACCTATATAGCCCAGGCCCACCTGCCTACAGATGGTTCTGCCCTACAGGCTGGACCCTCACACATTAATCATCAATCAAGGAACTACCTCCCAGACATGTCCATAGGCCAGTCTGATCAAGACAAGGCTTCAATTGAGGTTTCTCTCTTCCCAGATGAATCTAAGTTGTATCAGATTGATAATGAAAACTAATTGGCAGCAATCAGCACTATTGGTACTTTCATTTCATTCATATGGCTCTGACCTACACCTTTCCGTGTGGATTGCTACTTTCTATTTAAACACATGCAACCACTGACCTGAAAGCATTCTTTGACCACAGCAGCATGCATGTCCACATGCAAAGTTTGCCAGAAGTCCTATACAATTAATGTATATACAAACAGACTTCTACCACTGAACAACAGAGGTGGGAGATGAATATCCCCAAATCCCTGCAGCTCTCCCAGAGTTCCCTGACAAGATGGATTCTCACCTGCCCACAGTGGGTTTACCAGCTGTTATAATTGCCTTAGCTTCCTCTCCTCCCTGTCCTTCTGCCTGTGAACCCAGGAACCACTTCCCAAATAAAGCATTGCATTCAAATCCTGCTCCAAATCTTCATCTGCAAGGTTTAAAAGGCTCTAATTGTCAGAGTTCACTACATTCCAAAACAACCCTTAATTTTTTTTAAATGATAAGGCATGGTTTGCATAAATAACTCAATGGACTTGCTGAATAAAGTGGACTACATAGAGAAACTTTGTCTTGAAAGAAACGAGAGAGAGAGAGAGAGAGAGAGAGAGAGAGAGAGAGAGAAACTAGTTCAATGAAATCCCAGGATCCCAGGGTAACATTTCCTTCTGGACAGAAAATTGGTTTGCAGTGTGTGTGTGTGTGTGTGTGTGTGTGTGTGTGTGTGTGTGTGTGTGTGTGTGTGTGTTTTCACCTGTGTACACATGCACATGGAAGCCAGAGGTTGATATCAGATATCTACACTTGCTCTCCATCGTATAGGTCAGTCACTGAACTTGAATCCCACCAATTACAGCGAGATAGTCTGGCAAATGAGCTTAGAAGTCTACCTGTTACCACCACCCCACCCCAGCGCTGGTGTTGTTGACGAGCACTGACACTGAGTTTTTTATACGGATACTGGAGATCCACCCTCAGGTCCTCATGCTTGTGTAGCCAGCATTTTACTGATTAGGCTCTCTCTTCAACCCCTATTCACCAAAGTTTTGCATAAATGCCTAGTTGGGAGCATGACAAACCTGGGGACAAGCTTTATAGACAGATTGATGGTATTAACTAGAATCCTGGTGGCCACAAAATTAATTTTATAACAAGAAAAAAGAAACCTAACAGCTCAGAAGAAAAACATTCTTTTCTGCCAGAGATTCCTACAAGGATTTTTCTCTTGAAGTATCCCATAAAAGAATTCTGTGAAAACAGCACATATTGTTTTTACCCAAAGACAGGAACACAGAGCACAACAGTACACTCTGTCCCCAACAAATACAGGTCAAAATACAGGCCAGTACACATAGCTCTCTAGTGGCTAACACAAGTGGGGGATCTGTGGAGGCCCACAAAGTTTTCCTAATGAGATCTGAGCTTGCTTTACCCAGCAGGGCTGCATTAGAGGATTGCTTGACCATGTGCATGGTTATTAGGTGATTGGAAGGGTCTACACTTGGCTGAGCTAGGGGGAGGTCTTTGCTCCACTCCTTGGCACTCCTATAAATAGCCTTTTAGAAGAGACAAAAGGAGCCAGGGGATAATGATCCAGGCCCTCCCGAGGCTATCCTGTGTTTCTACCTGTTTCTCTCCCCTCTATCTTTCTACTGCTAGATTTCTACCTCAGTCTCTTTTCCCTCTCTCCTCAAGAGTACCTTGGGGAAAAAGTAGGAGCTGGGTCTCCCACAGGGATCTAATTGTGTGGCTGTTTGGTGATGGTCCAGTTTGGAGTGGGTTGATATTAACAGAGTGGGGATTTTCAGATAGGATTCCATTTGGTTACTTGGGAGAAAATAATGACTGATAATTATTCTAAAACTCAGAACCCTTCCTCCCAGGGCATTGCCTAAACCTTGCTTTATGTTAGAGCATTAGTTAAGTTTGTATTGTACCTAAAATTCCTGATAGAGACAACTTGAAGGATGGTGGATTTATTTGGAATCATGGTTTGAGAGGAGTCCAGTGCTTGGTGGGTGGTAAGACGTGGTAAGTTGCTCATCCATGGCTATGGGAGCATATGGCACAAGCTGTTCACATGGAGGTGGTTCCAGAAAAGAGGGAGAGTGACAGGAACCAGGGGTCAGGTATAACCTTCAGAGGCCTGCCCCTAGTCACCTACTTCTACCTGCCAAGCCCTATCTCCTGTAGGTTCCATAGCCTCCCAAAAGAGTGTCATCAGATTGGGAACAGTCATTCAAACCATGAGACAGGAACCCATAGAAATAGCTTGAGAAAGCAGAGCCCAGGCTCTGGCTATTCTCTGGAAACATGCCAGTAAACACCCTTAAGCCAGAGCCCCATACCAAGGATGTAGAAAACTCTAGCACAGCCTGGGCCGTGCTATAGAGACCATACTTCTAGGCTGCCTACAGACCGCTGTTTGCAACATGTAGTTTTCACTTTCATGTATCCTAGAAGCCTCTCAGACACAGTTTTAAGATGGTATTGGAGCAGCCTTCATTTTAAGACGGTATTAGAGCAGTCTTCAGTATAGCCATCATTTCTGAAGATAGCTTTGAAACAAGCACACAGCCAGCAGAAATGTCCTATATCACATCCCTGTCTTATGCAGAGGTAACTAAATGGGGAACCTGTCGAGACACCTCCCTTACAGCTCCCTATCAAAACACAGGGCTTCTCTTTTGCCTAACACCCCCTCTTGAGCTCTTAGGAACTCTTCTTTCTGAAGTAGTCTTCACCAATATGTCCTTACTGGTTCCAGGTGCTAATAGAAAGCTGCGAAATGTCCTGAAGCTGGGACTAGTGTGGAAAGAGTGTGGAAGGAGCACCTGTGAGGAACCAGGCATAGTGGCAGCCTTGCAGCACACAGAGCCCCAAGCCGAGACTCTGAATCACCAACAAAATATCCTTTCCTCCCCTTCATTCTGTGGTACTGTCAAAATGATGATGACAGTATTTATACCCCATCTCACTGTTCTCCCATACTTACCCTTATGGCTTGATTCACCCAGAGGATCCTCAATAAAGCCAAAGGATAAAAGTGTAGCTGCTCATGTTTTAAGGGGCAATGTAGTCAGCATGTGACCACATGATTGTGTGACCACATACACATCTGCTTCCTTGATATTTTTGAAATACAAGACATGACACATCTATGGCTGCCAGGCACACACATGCACGCACTTGTGTACCAGCTTGACACATTCACCTTCTAGTAACACAGAAAGATGATGCAGTCATATGGAACCAGGAAGCCAAACAAATACCACACTGTAGATGCACCTTCTGGTAGCCAATGGGTCTGCATGCCAGAAAAACACCTAGCTCTGTGCCCTCAACAACCTGATGGTAAATAGATACCAGCTGGGCTTACAGGGATGTCAATGATATGCATACTGGAGCAGGTATGTGAGAACCTTAATTTTCTGCCATCCTCTCCACCGAGAAGCAAAATGCTGAAGTCCTGATACAAAGCTGGGTGTTTTTAAAGGACTGACTGACCCAATGGTGACTGATCTTGTTAGGCTGAGCTAGGGTACCCAGTTGCTTAGTCAAACATCAGTCTAGATGTCTCTGTGAAAATGTGTTTGAAAGAAACTTGGACATCCATGTTTCTTGCTACATTATTCACAACAACTAGGACATGGAGTCAGCCAAGATGTCCATCAACAGATGAATAGATAATGGAATGTGTCATCTACATAATCAAATTTCACTTATCTGTAAAGAAATATGAAATATCCAGGGATGAGGACTCAGAGGCCTCCAGTTTGAGGAAACAAGACCAGCTGAGGATCCGACGAGGTGAGGTAGTTGTGGCTTGTTCTGTCTCTCTGATCTACCAGCATTGACCCCAATAACTGGCCTCGGGTTTGATTTTATTAATAAGAACTTTTAAGATTCATGCTACATAAGTTCTTGGCAGACTGTCCTGAAATATCAGGGAATAAAATCTTTAGTCCCAGGTAAGTTAACTCCCCATAGAACATACACATATATGTACACACGTGTATATACATACCTCCCCCCATCCATCCCAGTTTCTACTCATACTTTTAATGAATGCCCAAAGGCATCATGTGGGCTTCAGGATCACAGGAAAAATTTCTCATGATTGAAGTCACTGCTTCTACAGGTCACTCACAGAGACCTGTGCATACTATTCCACCCATTGGCAGTGGTGTCACAGAGTCTTCAAGATGGATCTTACTCTTAGAAGCTCACCTCATGCTGTCACAATCTCCAGCCTTCTTCTGAACTTACTTTCACCACTTTATTCTCATCTCCAGGAAGGAGCCAGTCTCTGCTGCAATGACACATAACAAGAAGTCCTGGATTTTCACTTGTGACAAGAACAAAAACTTCTAACACACACACACACACACAGAGGACTGTGAGCTGGTGAAAGCTTGGCTGACCTTGGTTGGATGCCAAGCTGGGTTTATGTTCTGCACTGCTGTAAGGGTTACCATTCTGACTAATGGAGCAATGGGTGGAACCCAGAAAAGCAGCGCAGACCAGGAAATCACACTGAAGATGTAATTAGATATGGCTTGGGTCCCTCAACTCTCCTTTCTTTGATCAAAGGAAATTTGATGAGGGGACAAATGTCAAGGTAGAGTTGGGATGTGCATCTTCTCCTGAGCTGCTGGATGACCCTGCTGAGTCTCCAGGCAAGGAGGATGAGTGACAAGCTCTGTTACCAGATGGAAATGTTTGCCATCTATCACTGAAACCTGTTCATTTTTGCCCTGAGGTTGGTTTTAAGGGTTCTGGGTTTCAAACTCAGGTCCTTGTGCTTACAAGGCAAGCACTTTACCAACTGATCTATTGTCTAGATCCTAGGATCATTGTTTGCCATTTAGTTCTCCATATCTCAAATGCTGGGATTCTAGGCATATGTCTGGTTTATTTACTTTTATGGACAATCTGACAATGTTAGTAGCCTCACTTCACTATTTTACAAGATGCTAGGAATTTCAGCCCACATCCTACCAATCATGCAATTGAGAAAATGACCCAACCTGATTGGCCTATAGGCACACTTCTGGGGTATGGTCTTGATCAATAATCAATGTGGAAGATTCCAGCCCAGGGCAGGTGGTCCTGGTTGTATAAGAACGTAGGCTGATAAAGCCATGAGGAACAAGCCAGTAAATAGCATTCCTTCATCATCTCTGCTTCGGCTCCTGCCACCAAGTTCCTGCCTTGAGTTTCTGATTTGGTGTCCCTAATGATGGGCTGAACCTGTAATCCCAATAAACCGTTTCCTCCTCAAATTGCTTTTGATTGTGCTGTTTTACCACAGCAACAGAAAGTGAGCTACAACAATCTCCAACCCACAGAACATCATTTCTTGGCCTTACCTGCCTTGAGCATGCCAAGTATATTTACATGGGCCAATTTTATAACAAGGTTTTGAACGTCACATATAACTTACAGAATTACTGGTACCCAAAACTGCAGGCAACAGAACAGCCCAAGTGAAATTGTGTGCCTGCAATGGTGGCCTGATGGGGCACCATGGCTCACTGTACATCCCAGCCAGAGGAAAGAACCAGAGCTGCATTTTGACAGCTGGGAAACATATTGGAATTTACTTTCAGAATGCAGTCTCCACTCATGTGTCTTGCTTATTCACCACTATGAAGTGTAAATAAATAATAAATAAATACAAAAGTGCTACATCAGATCATTCTATCCAGAGCCATCTCTATGAATATAGTTCATGTTCAGAACTCAGGAGGTGAGTGTTAGCAATACCACAATTTTCAGACAAAGAAATCAAAGTTCAGATAGGTTAAGTATTCTCCACATGTTGCACAGCTCAAATATGACAGAGTTGAGATCTGAACTGTGTGTGTGTGTGTGTGTATGTGTACATATCTGTGTGTCTGTGTTTGTGTGTGATGTATATGTGTGTGCATGTTTCTAAACACTGATCTTCACTGCTCCTGAAAGTGTCCTCATAGTGCTTTGTAAGTCATAATTATGGCCCAAAGCTTTGCTGTAGGTCCTCAGAGCAGAATTATGTAATAGAAGATGGGCCACAGGCTGAGGAACTTCTATATGTGGATCCTCACCTGCACAAACGCCAGACCACCTCCTCAAATCTAGGTCTCTCTCTCCATAGGCCTCCCAGTTCTCTGCAAGAGCCCACAGAGGAGCCATCTTCCTTTTCTGGGTGTCTCTAGCCAATCTGGTCCAACCGAGAATCTGTAGGTCAGTTCTTCCTGGAGGGTTTTTAGCTGAGACTCTCTGAAAATGACTTCTGGCTGAGTCAGGGTCCATAGCAAGAGGTTTCACTTGCTCTAATTCCTTTTTAGGTCTCCTCTCACTGTGTCAGAACTATGCCTTGAAGAGCTACTATATGGACCAGTCCAATAACCAAGCTCTTGTCCATTCTACAACCCAGCAGCATTGGACATCATAAGCCTCTCCCTTCTTTCCCTTGGTTTCCAGAACACTGCCCTCTACTGGCCTTCCTGCAACCTGTGGCTCCTCCTTTCTTCTCTCCCCATTCCCCTCTTCACATCCCCTCCTCTCCCCCTCTCCTCTCCTCACCTCTCTTCTCCTCCCTGGTCCTCTCACCTCCTCTCCTGTTATGGTTTGATATGAAAGGTCCCCTGCAGCTTATATATAGATTCCCCAGCTACAAGTACTATTTAGGGAGGCTGTGGGAACTTTCAGAAATACATCACTGAGGACCAACCCTTACTGATACATTATCCTTGGCCCCTCTCACTCTCTGCTCCCTGCCCACCAAGAGGTAAACAGCTTCCATCACACTTTCCTACAGCTATGATGTTCTGCCCAATGTGTGCAGCAAAGTGTTGCTGAACCCTCTAAAACTGTGAGCCAAAATAAATCCCTCTGCCCTCAATTTGTTTCTGTCCGGTATTTCATCAAAAAGATGCACACGTGGGCTAGCACAGCCTCTTTTCCTTTAACTCAGAAGGAATTGCTTTGCACTCTCTCTTTGCTGTCCTTCTCTTACCCATGTTCACTCACCTGGATCCAATCACATCAGCTCCAAGGTCTGATTGATACAGCCATGTCTGTATTTGATCCCAAGCCTCTCTCTCTGAATTCCTGCCCCCCACTGGCTTGCTTCCTGTCTCCATTTGGAGGTCTAACAGAGCCCACCTATGTCTCTACAGAATGAAGTCCCTGTCAGCACCCTCAAATACCTGCTTTACTTCAGCCTCTCCCATTAACCAAAAGCTGCACAGTCTGGCATATTTCTCAGTGAAAAGGCTTGGAGACCTCCTGGGGCCCCTTTCCCCATACTCACATTCAGTCTGTCAGCAAACACCTGTTTCTTTCCAGACCACAATGATTTCTCCTAGTCTTATCACCCCCACCAAGTACCATCATCTTATGGCCAGACAGCTGCAGACAGTTCCCAACGAGGGTCCCAGCCTCTGTGCAACAGAGAAAAATCAGAGGGAGTCTTTGAAAACTTGTGTCCTGTGAACAAATTGTTAACATAGTCACTTTTAAACATTTTCACCACAAAAATAATGCTAAGTAAGCAAGGTAATAACTGTGATAGTTATCTTGATTTAATGGTTCCGCAATTTAAATATAGATTAAACATTGCCATAAGCCCCCATAAATATAAATATGATGTTTTTCAATTCTAAAAGTACATTTTTAAGGTTTTTCTCTTTCTTTTTTCTTTTTTAATGAGAGTACTCTACTCTTCTCATGACCCTGCTAGTGGGCATTCATGCCCCTAGGAGAATTGCAGAATCCTTAGGGTGTCCAATCACCACACAGCTAGCTCCTGCGTGTCCAAAGACACCTGCACCTCAGGATCAGGCCCTACCTGCCCCTCTTTTAGGGTGCTTTGCCTCTTTCCCTCCCTTGTGTCTTTATTCAAATGTCACCTCTCTAAGTGGTCACACACTGACCCTCAGTCCATGGCTATGACCTTTCCTGTGCTGTCCCCGCATTCACCTCTCTTTCCCTTTTCATGAGGATTCATGTCTCCTTCTAACAAATATGCAGTCCCTGACCTGAATGGTTGACTTTGCAACACCCAGATGAAGAGACATGATACACAGTCAATAGAAGTTATACATAAAATCTTCCTGTTGTCTTCTCCCAGGATTGCAATAGCCGTGGGATGTTCTACTTTGATTTTCAGTAAGAGTAGTCAGTCCCAAGAGTGACTTCGGTGTCACCAGAGGGATCAGCTGACTCTACAGTGTGTTCTGTCACTAAAGCAGTGTTTGGGAGGCTTGATGTAGTCAATCAGTTTACAACTTAAAATACTTTCAGCATGTGAAGGGTTTATTGTGATGTTACCACACCTTAAATTGAGACACAAATGTGCATCTTTATGTTTTATTCACTGCTGTATTATCAGTATGGAGAATGTTATCTGCCATGCAGTAGGTAATTAAAAATAGTTTCTTGAGTATGGATTCTCATGGGGACATTTCTCTGGCTGGAGTGAAGTGAGTGTCCCAAAGGCAAACAATGAAAGCCATTCTTCACAGCACCCTCTGACTCAAGAAAAAAATATGTGAAGCTAAGGAGCTGGTTCAGTGGGTAAGCCCACTTCCTGTGCAAGCATGAAGAACTAAGTTTGAATCCCCAGCACCCACATAAAAAACCAGGCATGGCTACAGATGCCAGTGACCCCAGAATTGGTGAGTAGAGTCGGGCAGATCCCAAGAGCTCACTGGAGATTCAGCCTGCAAATCTGAATCAAACATCCAGTTAGAGAAAGATCCTGTCTTAAGGGGGAAAGGGAAAAAGCTATAGTCAAAGACACCCTAAGTCCACCTCTGGCTGTCAGTCAGACACACACACAGGCTCACACATCCATAAACACGCATGTGCACATATGGTCATTATGCCATAAATACACACAAAAGTAAAGAAAGAGAAAAAAGAAGGAAGGAAGGAAGGAAGGAAGGAAGGGGAGAGAAAGAAAGAAAGAAGGAAGGAAGGGAGGGAGGGAGGAAGGAAGGAAGGAAAGAAAGAAGAAAGAAAAAAGAAAGAAACAAAGACACAGAAGGGCTAGAATACACTTGCCCATCCCCCACTCAATAGAGACTCAACAACCTAGAATATTTCACAGAGACTCCAATTCCAGAATGCCTGTCTCTGGCAGCCTTGTACACTGCCAGAGTCACTTCCGAAGTTCAAATAGTAATGTTGCTGCCAACAGAAATGAACTGCCTGGAGAGAATTCTTTAGTGACCTGTCATCAAGGGGAGGCACAGGCAGCAGTCATCTTGAGTGGGTTTGCAGTGGCTGGACAGGCATCCCCAGCCTTCTAATTTATGGTTGTCCATATAGGCTGGGAGTTCCCCTGGCTAATGGCTTCCTCCTGTATGTGGTGTGCATATGACTTCAAAGAGCTCAAGAGAAAGTTGGGAGCTCAGGCCTGCTGTTAAGTGGAAGCTGGAACTTCAGACAAGGTCAATGACACCCTTAAACAGGGTGTGCATGGGGGAGGAGGGGAACCAAGTGTGGGTCTTGTAATCAGTGAATATCTGACTAGATACTTGCCTGTCCCCTGATATGATCCTGACACTAATGTTCTCATTTGAGTGGCCATCCGTTGAAAGTCACTGTTTCAGAAGAGAAAGAACAGCAAGGGTCATCCAGAGGCCTTCCAAAGCCAAAGCAGCAGGTCACATCCAGACAGCTGTGCTGGGCTTTGCCATGTGCTATGTGCCTTCTGTTGCCATGGCAACCTTTTTCCTGTCTTCACTAGTAAACTGTTGCTCTTGCTGGTCTTAATATCTACAGTCATCCAGTGCCTTGCCAACTGCCTCAGAGAATTAAAATTCCTCTAAGACACAATTTCATCAAAGAACACATGAAATTTGAAAGGTGTTAGGTGAGAGGATACTGTTAAGGACAAATTTTTGGAGACACCACCTTCCCCTAAGACAACCCCTCAATTACCCTTAAGTTGTGAGATGGAAAAAAAATATGACCTGTTCACTTGGTCTGAATTGGAACCCAACTCATTTGTCAGATTTCTCTGAGCTTCTGAATAAGTTGCTAGTACAGAAATGTCTTGGTCTTCTCATCTGTAAAATGGGATGCCACCATTTTAGTCACCTTGGGATGATTTAAATGAAATAGCCAAGGCAGGTTGTGTTTGAAGAAAAGAGACTTATTAATCCACAGTTCTAGAGGCTAATGGGCCAGGGCCAAGAGGCCCACTCTGGTTGTTCAGGCTCTAACTTCTGTGAGGAGCTAATGGGGAAAGGCCCCATGCAAGAGACATCTGTGAGTATAGGAGAGCTTCTAGATAAAAGCAGAGAGGAGTCTGGGGCCCATATTCTCTTCTGAGGGTACCCCCCAACCTGCATATTCCTGTACTAAGCCTGGTTTTTAAGTATTACTCCACTTAACAACATCACAATGGGGACTAAATTCCCATTGCAAACCTGGGGAGACAAGCTTAGATCTTAGCCATAACCTATGTAAAAGTTGTCTGGAAAAACCAATCAACGACAGCATGTTTTTTTTTTAAGAAATGCCTACAGATATCCTTTCACTTTATTTTACAGTTATTTCTTTATATCCTGGGTTAGACATAAAGAAATGATTCAGGAACTGTGAATAGACCCAAGCTTTACAAGGATAGAACCTGTGCTTTTCTGTTTTCAGTGTCTGGCTGAGTAAGTGTTCAAAATATATGCTTGGGTTTACTGGCATCTCTTCTGAGAAGCTGGGAGAGTGGCTTGCCACCATGACAGCCCTATGGATGATCTATGGCTGGGACAAGATCTAGAATTACCCAGGACATAAACCTCCAAAGGGGAGTTTTTAGATTGGGTTAACTGAAATGGAAAGCCTTACCCTTAGTATGAGTGGCATGATTCTGTGGGTTGGGGTACACACGTGAATAAAAAGAGAACATGAACTAAGTAGCAACATTGGTCTCTTGCTTCCAGACTACAGATGCGATGGAACCAGATGTTTCACACTCCTGTAGTCATACTTTCCCTGCCATGGTGGACTGTATCTTCAAACTGAGTGCAAAATTCGTTTTTCCCTTAAGTTAAAACAAAACAAAACAAAACAAAATTCTCAGCATTAACATTTTCTTCTCTATTCTTTGCACACATACATGGTCACTTGTGAGAATTGGTTCTCTCCTACCACAATGTGAGCTGGTCACCAGGCTTTAGCAGTAAGTATCTTTACCTGCTGAGCCATTTCCCCAGATTAAAAAAAAAGTAATACAATACAATAGTGCTGTTGTTTGGATTTGAAGTGCTCTTGTTAAAGGCTTGATCTCCAGCCTCAGGCTCTATTAACAAGTGGCAGAACTTTTAGGAGGTGGAGCCCAGTGGGAGGAAGTAAGGTGACTGGGGGTGGGCCCTTGAAGAAAACATCAAGATGGGTCTCTCTTCATCCCCCCACCCCCACCCTATTTTTCAGTTGTCACAATAGGAGCGACTTAATTCACCACATGCTCCTGTCATGGTGTCCTCTGCTCCACAGGCCCAAATGAACAGTGACCTTTGAAACCATGAGCCATGAACCTCTGCCCTTATTAATTTATCTTCAGTATTTGGTAACAGTGTTAGAAAGCTGATAAACATATTGTGATGGTTAAACTTATGTTTTAAATTTAAGTTACTGTTCTTAAGAGATCTATAAAACAAAAATGCCTCTAAAGCGTAAAACATACCCAAGGACAGATAACTTCCTGGAATGGTGGGGGTTTGTCATGTAAGATAGCACACCACATGTTTTTGCCTCTCTAAACAAGCTTGGTTGCACCAACTGTGCAAGATGTGTGTTTGATCATGTATAGGCAGGAGGTACATAGGCAGGAAGTAAGTCAGGGTGTATGCTTGCCCCTGATTGGTTGAAGGTGGGAAGTATGAGCCTTGTGGGTTTTTACCTTTATAAGTCCCTGACTAATGTAATTTAGCACCATACTCTGGAAATCCCGGATATGGACCTGTCCAATCCTGGCCAATATTTAATAAAGCTTGCCTCAAATTCAAATTTGGCTCAAAATTTGTAGTAGTGGTCTTGTTCTCATCCAGTGGTACTAACAACACCTCATAATCACAATAGTACTATCCCATTCTCAAGTCTTGAGGACATGAATTGCGTTCAGAGCTGCATAGGCATAGCAACAGTTGATTGGTGGCTGACAACAAAGATTAGTGACTAAGTACAACCCAGTTCTGTTGTTGGTATTTTTAACTCTTTTGGAGGGCCCACCACCCAGCTCCCAAATAAATCACATATGGAGGCTTATTCTTAATTATAAATGCCTGGCCTTAGCTTGGCTTGTTTCTAGTCAGCATTTCTTAACTTTAAATTATCCCATATACCTTTTGCCTCTGGGCTTTTACCTTTTTCTATTTCTGTATACCTTTCTTTGTCTCTTACTCTGTGGCTTGCTGTGTAGCTGGGTGGCTG